CTCCAATCCATGTTTTAATGGTGAACGGTCATTAAAGAACAGGGTGTAGGGGCTAATTGGTTTAGAGAGAGCAAAACAAGAGCAGGCACATTCAAATTGAGACTGTGGTAAATTTTCAGTGTTTAAAAGCGGAGCGTCAAGTAAAATAGAGCTGTGTGAATATCTCATACTGGATAACCAAGAGAAATAGAGACAAACTTTTTACAAACAAATCTGGTTTTCAGATTCTGGGTTTCTCGGTTTGCTACCAGAATTTATATGAATGAAGAAATTTCTTCTCCATGTTAGCCGTCGACTCCTGACTGTGGTGATGGTGCCTCTTGGTGCCTCTTAATGCAGTTAATTAACATAATACGGCTTACTGTGCAGCAAATTGTAGAAACAGAGCATCCAAGAAGTCTGTTATGCTCAGGTCTTTTTTTTTTTTTTGCATTGCATCCATGTTTGTGTGTTGGACCCAAAATGTGTTTGATACACTTATTAGCCAAGCCAGACAGCTTCAGCTGATAACTTAGCATTTCACCATCTTGCTCAAATACAGTCCAATACTAGCTCCTAAAACACAGAAGGCAACTGTTCACGTGGGTTATGTCTATCTTTTATATACAGTCTTTCATTGTTATTATTAAATAAATCCTTTTTGATCATTTTGTCTTCTTCTCACATGTAGATTATTAAAAGGAAAGAAGATCAAATATGGAATAAAAGTTGAAGCTTAATATGCCTTCATTTTTTATACATTCTAGTAGGAGGCCTTTTCATTGCTAGTTTTCACCAATTCAAAGGCCTTGATAGTGCCATATGTCAGGTTTAGATATTTAGCATCCGAAAGCCACATTAATGATGTACATGAAACATGACATCCATTCAGCTGAAAGCACTTTATATCTAATGTAAAGATCCTACAGTAGTAGAGAGACGGGGCACTATGACCAGCACTTCTTGACAGTGGTGAGGAAGAACTCCTTTTTAACAGGAGGAGACCTCTAGAGGAACCAAGCTGAGGGGCAGCCGACCATCTGTAGCGACTGGTTTGAGGATGACAGAAGAACAATGACAAAAAAGAGCATAAAATTCCATCAAGTTTCCATCGAGGAGACCAAAAGGTTTTATCTGTGTGGAGTAATAAGAAAGTTTTAATCTTCGGGTAATCAAAGAAATACAGTGGTTAACATTCTATTACTCTTTTTCTTGTCTAACCTTTGATTAATCTGCTTTTTATTACATATACTGTTCTTTCTTCTGAAGTAGTTCATTGCCAATTATAACACACGCTCCAAATGTTTATCTCCCCAAATATTTGCATAAAAGTAATACATGGAAACGCAATCATTTGCAATTCCTGATGCAGATTTTCTGGAATTCTACAAAGATTTTCATTACATTTGCATAGGGACTGATCCATGATAAACATCTGGGTCACTTTAAGAATTGGATAGATAGGAAAACTCTTTGGGGAATTTATACAGAGAAAAAAATGCTCCCAGCACCGGCAGCTAATCCCACTTCGTAATTCTTTGGAAGAACCCCCTGCTGCACTAATACAGTGCTCTCAATGAAATAAATGAGGAGGTTTTGTGATGAAGAGCTTTTGTTGATGTTAAGGGGCCATTAAGCAGTGTGCTAATCACATACAATCAGAGAAGAGAGTGCTTCTAACTAGCTGCTATTGTTAGAGTTACAAACATAAAACAGAATCTAAAGTCCGACATTACTAGTATAGTTAATTATTATTTTTTATTCGTTCCGATTCCTCCCACTTTAAATAATGATGTCTTCTTAATAACTCGAGTGAAAAATTACAGAATATCTTAGTGTTTTATATCATTTCCCTTTTGCTTTAATGACATTGTGTTGCCATGAACTCGCCAAGTTTATGCAAATCTTGATAACTGAATAATGATATCCCAGCATGATTAGAAGATCTTCCAAAGACCTTATTGTGATTTCAAGAATGTGTTGCTTTGTTTGCTTTCAAGAGCCGCCGAAAAATGCTCAGTGGGGTTAAGGTTAGGTAATTATGGAGGAAGGTTCATGACTGTCAGAGCTCCTTTGGTTTTTCAGAAGTTCTTTCAAAGCAGACTTGAATCCTGAAGAAGATAGAAGATAGACAGAAGAAAGATGCAAACAATGCACTAAGACACCAGTGAAGATAACTGGCATGTCATTTTAATGGACTGGGTAACCCTTTAGCATAATTTTCCCATGTGCAGAGTAGTCTGATGTGAACCTAACCAAGTTGTGTGTGTGTGGCTCTTTTAGAACTTTCAGTACCTAACACTCCCCCACCCCCCCACCCCCACCCCAAAAGAAAAAAACACGTTTGAAAATGACAATAAAGAAGTAACTTGTGTACCAGTATGTCACAAGACGAGATCCTGAAAGAGCATTTGCATTTGACAAGAAAATATGACCACTTCAGTACATCTCTGAATAATAGAGTCCCATTTCTCAAAGACACAGTGGAGTTGAGGCTAGTGTTTTCCTGGACAAAGACTTTACCCTATTGTGCAGGCCACCCTGCTACGTGAACTACACACCCAACAATTGTGTCATCCATGAACAGTTTACTAGTGGACAATGCTCTTACAGTTTAGAAAAGGTGGCTCATCAACCCCAGCACTTGTGTGTGTGTGTCTTCCCAAGCTGCTGACTTGCAAGCCCAACTTGTTTTTTAATATCACACAGCTGCTTGTCCATACAAATACTTTGCACTACAACCAGCAAAGATGTGTTCCTGCTCTGAAAATCTACTCTGAGATGGAGAGCTACTTTTCTTTTAAATTGGGTTAGGAAACTGGGTGTGACTTCTTGCTGCAGATACACTCCCTTTCTCCCCCATAAATATAATCCAAATCAGTAGGAAATGCAGTGATTTAGTGCAGGTGTTCAACTCTAGAACAGCAAAACATACCAACCTGAATATTGCCACCATCTTGTTTAAGTGTGGGTTTGATGCAGTGCAGTATCATTTTCTCTACCCTTCACTTCTGTACAAGTACCCTTCTGTTCATGCAATAAATGCTATACATGAATACTTGAGTGGGACTTTTATACTTACAAACGGTAAAATACTGACCTGCCTGTTTTTTAAAAGCCACATTTATACAAAAACAAGCCACTTATGTGTATTATATATATTTCACTCTGTAACCCACTCTCTGAATACAACACAGTGCATATGTGGCAGGTCCATAATGAGGGATGGTATGTTAAATATGCAAGGTCTTATTCTGGATCTTCCCAGGCAGATGCTCGGTCATTACACTCCTACAAGTGGGGGCCCTCTGTTAAGTGAAGTATATGAGGTCACACTTTCATGTGACCTCTGTAACCCCAGCTAAGGAAAGAAAATCTTGTAGACATCTCCTAATAGTCTTCTTTCATCAGGAAATTTGCTGATTGGTGTCTTGTGTTCTTTATTTACCAAATTCTTTATATGTGATAAATCTGCTTTTTTGTCCCTCCGTGGACAAATTGCCTTCCTCTGATGTGTGGTCATTTTTAAACTGCCAGCCCTGCACACAAACACAGCAGCTACAGGATGAAGCTTGTTCTTCGATTACTGCTCCGATTTTCATCTTGTTTTCCTCTTTTACTGTACTTTCCTGCTATCTCTTTCCTATACGTTCTGCTGTTCTTCCTCAGGATTCAGGTGAAATGATGAATTTTTAAAATTCTATTTTTTGTGTTCATGTTGCAGCTGACAACAGCTCAGGGGTTTTTCAGTGCTGCTCAGAAGATCTTACCCAAGATCAAGAACTTCTTTCTCCCTTCAAAGTGCTCTGAAATAAGTCCTCCAGTGGAGGCTCCCACAGTGGAAACACTGTGCACGGCGCCCAAAAAGTAGCTTGATTTACTTGAACGGACTTCTTATCTATCTTAGTGTTATCTAAAAAGACTTACCTCAAGGACAGCTGGCTTTTTGTAGTTCTTAGTTAACACTGTTAATATGAAAAATTGTTTAAATGTTTAATGTCTCACCTAAAAGAAGTGCAGAGTCTGAAAGATTTCTTCTGTATTTTACATGTAAAAATGTGTTTTGTTTGTGTTGTAATTATTTACAGGTTTACATGAAAACAAAAATGTTCACTGTGGTCTATGAGAGCTTCGAAATAGAGAAACATCTTAGCTGCATAAGCTACACACAGAGGCCCTCTATGTGTAGAGTAAACACATGACTTAACGCCAAACAGCAGCATGTGAAAGAGAACATGATAACACGATGCCTTAACATCACTGTGGAAAGTTTACATCTAATAGTAAACATAATATTTCCTGAAATGGAAGGCTGCTATTATTCTATGGTTTTCCTCAATGCTAAAAAAAAATCCTCTGACAAGTTCAGTTAGTGCATGTTCCAGTACTTTGCTTTTTTGCGGAAAAAGAAAAAAAGGTTGATGTTCAGTACTATCCTGTTAGCCCTGCTTCCATGCTCTAGCATCATGTTGCAGGAGTGTGGCCCACTGGATGTACACTGCATTCCAGTTTGTGTTTGGTGTGGGTAGAGGATGTAAGGTAACTCACAATGATGGAGTAGCTGATGACTTACCCAATAGAGGTTCTGAAGGACTAGTTGCAAACTTTCAAGAAGATGTTAATGTTTACGAGGATTTGGAGGAAGATTTCACTCTGGTGAGCTTGGCTGATGACATTGGATATCCCATTTTATGCTGCTGATGATAGTGGTCTCCAGAAACTTCACAGACTCTGCCACCTTTGCATTGTTGATAAGCA